GTACAAAAGTTGAAGGTTGAAATTAAAGACTTGAAATAAACTTTAAGTACTATCTTATCGATATTTAAAAGACAATTTCCTAATGAGAATATGGATATCTTGAATACTGTTACTCACATGGTGAACAAAGAGGTATATATAACATCTATTTTAGTTTATATATCTGTAAATTATCATCTTGCTCATGAATCTTGAACCTTATTGAAATTTTTTTTGAATTATTTTTAGGTTCCTGATGCTAGCAGTGCTTCAGAAATCCCACGTGAAAACCATCGTTCTTCAAATTCAAATCATCAACCTAATGAAAATGAAAACAGTAAACTCGTCGTCACATGATATATATGTGCAAATGCTTTGCTTGATACTTGTATCTTAGATAGAATGCCAAAATCAATTTTGAATCTAAGTTTTGAATCATGTAATTGTGATCTTGAAACATTACCCATCGTCTTTGCCATAATCAAAAATATTACATTATGATTTAAAGCTTTTCTTTTTTTCTTGAAAAAGCTTTCTTGCCTTTTTTTTTTCTTTGCAAAATGCTTTTTTATGATGTAAGCATGCTTTGTAGTTGTAGACTTGAATGTTATAGTGAAAATATTTGTTTAATGAAAGTTCTGTTGACTAAAATAATCTTAGGCTGGTTTTATTAAGTTATTATTTGGAATTAAATTAAAAGAATAAGGAGATTACACATGTAAATTAGGTTATTTCTTGTTCATTCATGCATTACACTAATGAATAGGATGTTTATAAATTTATTTTTGCTAGTATATAAATGGATAATTACCTTCTGTATATATTAAATTAAAAGAATAAGGAGATTACACATGCAAATTAGGTTATTTCTTGTTCATTCATGCATTACACTAATGAATAGGATGTTTATAAATTTATTTTTGCTGGTATATAAATGGATAATTACCTTCTGTATATATGAATGAATAAAAATGTTTATAAAATTATTTTTAATGCTATATGAATGAATGATTACCTTCTTACCTTCTGTATATATATAAGATAATTTACAAGAATTCTAATTGGATTTTTTTATGTTATGCAAATGGTTCTTTATAGAAATCTATGATGTGATCATTTATTTTAGGAAGTTGTTTATTTACTCGAAGCATTATGTTTGTAGGGGGATTTGGTTTTGTTTTGGATGATATGCACTTTGTTGAAATAAGGCTTTTGTGTTTTGTAATGCTTGATTGGTATATTGAATACTGTTAATGAGTTAGGTTCATTGAACTTGTTAGTTATATGATGTAGCTACACTTGTTGATTTTTTCAAGAATTGTGATATTTTGTATGAATTAAAATATTTTGATTTTAGAAAAGGCTTGTAATACGTGCATGTATGTTTTTTTCTTATTGAGGTGGTTTTACAATTGTTTGTTCATTTACAGATTTTTTAAGATTATCTTGTTCAGAGTTTTGTTAAAGTTTTATGGTGATCAAAAGGTCTTTAGGTGTCTATGGTGCAAATTTATGATTGTGTTTTTTAGGGTGAAGTGGTGTAACTGTTTATCTATATTTATTTTATTGATGTTTGTTTTATTAGACTTGGTACAATGACTTTAGTTTTTCACTTATACTAAGTTTGTGGATTATAAATAATTTAATTATAGTTTTAATGTTATTAAATATATTTTACTTTATTATTATTTTTTGTTTATATGAAAACATATTATATTATGATCATAAATAAATTAATATTAATAAATGAAAATATAATTTTTTAAAAAATTTACTAATTTTTTAATATTTATACTAATGCACTTGATCATTAGAATATTTTAGGTGATATTAACAATCATCAAAATATAATAAAAAAATTAAAACATATAAGTTTATATTGACAATCTCTTATCGTCAGTAAAAGTAAAAAAATTAAAGCATACAATTCTATACTAACAGTCTCTAACTGTCGATATAAGTAAGAAAATTAAAAAATATAAGTCTATATTGACGAATGCAAAGCGTTGGTATAGGTAAAAAAAACTTACAAGTTTATATTGACAAGCGTTAACCATCAGTATAAGTCATAAAAATTAAAACATATAAGTCTATATTGATGGGCGCTAGCCATCGGTATAGGTGAGAAAATTAAAACATACAAATCTATACTGATGGCTTTTAACCATTAGTAAAGGCGTTAGTATAGGTAAAGTCTATACTGACGAGCATTAACTATCGGTATAGGTAAAAAAATTAAAACATACAAGTCTATACTAACGGGTGTTAATCATCGCTAAAAGATATAAAGGTGAAATACACACAAATGTTATACCAACAAATATGCATTTACTAACGATCTTGAATCGTTGGTATATCTCTATAAGCTATTTCGACGCCTTTAAAAACCATTAGTATAGGTCTATACCAATAAGGGATATACTGACAACTAAAAATTGGTCGAAATACATATTTTGACCGTTGGTATAGGGTTATGGTGCTAAACTAAAAGATTTTGAGATTTTACCGACGCTTTTTTAAGCATCACTATATGTTAGATTTCTTATAGTGTAGCTTAGGTTTATGTAGAAGAAATCAAAAGAAAAAGAAACTATCAAAGGCGTATTCAAGCACCTTTTTCTCTACAAGATTTAGAGAAGGTTCTTCAACCATTCATGAAGGCCTCTTTATCTTGTAATATTATTGTAAAATAAACAAAAGAAATACAAAAACTTAAATGAAATGTAAAGCTACATGCACGGTAATGAAGATTTCATGGAAGGAAAAATGGAAGAAAGGTTAGAAAAGCTACCTTTCAAGCTTTTTGCTATTATTTTTTTCTCTTTTTCCTAGGCATGCCACCACGCTCTTCACTACCAAAAAAACCCCCTCTTGGCCTTACATATCTTATTAAAAGATAAAGAACTCCCATGGTAGCTATTAGATCATATTTTATCCAAATATGGAGAGAAGTTTGTCTTTTTCTTATTAAATTTGTTAACCAATTACGCAATTTGGACCATTGGATGAATTTACTCCAAGATCTAAGAATTTACTCTAAGGTCTACGAATTTACTCCAAGATCTAAGGATTTATATCATTTACAGCACATTCTCTTAGCTATTTGTGGAGTTGTCCCATCATGCCTAAGAAAATTATGACTTTACCCTTTCTTGAGTTAATTAGGCCTTTTACGTTTTTCTTTCGATTTTTTCGTTCCAATGCCGATGCATTAACTTTATTATGTTAAAAAATGATAACGGGGTATTTAAACCTGAATTTGCACCCACACCGAAAATTTAATCTTGTTTTGATCAAATTTATGGAAATGCCTCTAAAAGGTGATTTTGGACTTTTGTGGGTTGTTTAAAGTCAAATTTGATTTTTGAGATTGTAAATCATTATTGTACTGATTCTAAACATTAATTAGTCCAAATCAACTAGATTCCTTAGAGTTGACTTAGGTTTGACCAAAATTTACCAAAAATTTATTGAAGGGTATTTTTGTCAAAATAACAAATTTTGCTCAGATTTTGGTTTTCTCATGAATTTTCATTTAGAGGCCTATGGTTTTGGCATGGTTTAACTTCATTGCCCAATTTTGACCAATATTGACTAATTTCAATTAAATTTTGACATGGACCTATGTTAAGGGTATTTCGATCAAGATATAAAATTTTTAAATTAGAAGTTTTTATTTAAATTTGTTAAAAATTCTATAATTTGACTCGACTTAATCAAAATGGTTCAAGATTGGCCCAATTTAATTTGTGTTTTGATAGAGAGGTATTTTGTTCAAAATTCAAATTTTAATAAAATCCAAAGGTTTTCCAATTAAATTCCTTTAAAATCCTTTATTTTGATCAATTTTGACTTATTACACATAAAATTGACTAATTTGATCAATTTTCAATAAAACTTTGACCGAAGATATTTCAATGCCTTCTGCTAAATAGTGACTTATTTGGGTTGGCAGGCCTATTTCCTCGTAAAAAAATTCTTATCTTTAAATTAAAATATATTTAATCTAATTGTTTTTAATTAATACATTATGCCAATGAAACCTTAGATTTGTGACAAATAAGAGGTTTTAAAATTTTTTAGATCAAGTTTTACTATACGTAAATTTAATTCAATTTTATATTATATTTATCCAGTTATATTTAGATTTGTTAGTTGATTTGATTATTTGATTAATAAGTAATTTTTTACATACAAATATAATACTTAATTACGATTATAATTTTTTTATATTTGTAATTTCATTCAAAAGGTAACACATTAACAAACTCTTGGACAAAACATATATATATATATATATATATATATATATTACTTAACTTGAGCCAATAATCTTGACGGGGAGTTAAGACTCTCTAGTTATAGTAGCTTCAACCAGAATGATGTACTTTGCTTTATTCTTAGGCTGAATAAATTTTTGCGAGGAAAATTCCATATAAATCTAATGAAATGGGAATCATTTTTTACAAATAAAAATTGAATGCTTGGTACCAATAAACAATCGGTTAAGATTGTTATTCTTGATAAAGAGATATTGGATTTAAATTTTATCGGTGATCATTTGTTGAAATCATCTCGAATCACGATCTACAATTACTTATCTTAAGTTAAGTTATCAAATACGATATATCTTATCTTGATCTAAGAAATCGAATAATTTATCTATCCTAAATTTTTCTTATAGAAAAAAAATTGAATGCCTAGTTACATAATTACTTCGATGCCCAAGTTAAGTACTAGTAAATTACTCCTTTTCAAAAATCTTAAAATTATATAAAATAAAATATAAATATATAAATTATTATTAATTTATATTTTATATATAATATAATATAAATTTTAGAAATTATCCATAATACAAACAGTAAAATTACCGGATCTACTAAGAGCAAAAGCTTCAACCTGTACGCCTGGATCATTCCTCTCTCGGCTTTTGACTTTATTTGAGAAATTATGTGCTTTGCTCTCACCCAATGTGAATTCATTAGAAAATACGCAGGGGAAGCCGAGACAATAAGGTCAGAAATAATAGAACTCGAAAAAAAATTAAGGACACCTTCAACTTTTTATTACATTGTTATTTTAATAACAGTTAGCATCTACAAAGTTTTCATTTATGCATCTCTCTCAAATGCCATAAGTACATTACACAAATACCACTCAGCCAAAAAAAAAAAAAAACAGAGCAAAAAAGGCAACACCAGCAAATTTCATATGCAGAATTGCAGAACATTCTTGAAAATCCCATTGATGAGACTTAATCGACTTCCTCAATCTTGGGTCCGGCACCAGTTCCACCAGATCCAGCTTTTCCGTATCCGCCCTTGGGCATCTCAGCACCACCCACTGGCACATCTCCTCCACCACCTTGATACATCTTTGCAATGATTGGGTTGCATAGGCCCTCCAGTTCCTTCAACTTGTCCTCAAATTCATCAACTTCTGCCAACTGGTTTCTGTCAAGCCATTCAATAGTCTCATCAATTGCCTTCTCGATCTTCTGCTTGTCTGCCGGATCAAGTTTTCCAGCAAACTTTTCATCTTTCACTGTGTTCCTCATATTGTATGCGTAATTCTCGAGGGCATTCTTGGCCTCTACCTTCTTCTTCACCTCCTCATCCTCTGACTTGTATCTCTCTGCCTCTTGCACCATTCTTTCAATTTCTTCCTTACTCAATCTTCCCTTGTCATTGGTAATTGTGATCTTGTTCTTCACTCCTGCAGTCTTATCCTCGGCAGACACATTCAAGATACCATTTGCATCAATGTCGAAGCAGACATTGATCTGAGGTACACCTCTTGGAGCCGGTGGGATGCCTGTAAGCTCGAATTTGCCAAGTAAGTTGTTGTCCTTGGTTCTAGCCCTTTCACCTTCATAGACCTGAATCAAAACTCCAGGCTGATTATCTGAATAAGTCGAGAAAATCTGCTCTTTCTTGGTGGGAATAGTTGTGTTCCTTGGAATCAATACTGTCATTACCCCACCCGCAGTCTCAATACCAAGGCTGAGAGGCGTGACATCAAGAAGAAGCAAATCTTGGACCTTCTCATTCCCTTCACCATTCAAAATAGCCGCCTGAACCGCAGCTCCATAAGCAACCGCCTCATCAGGATTTATACTCTTGCAAAGTTCCTTGCCGTTGAAGAAATCTTGCAAAAGTTGCTGAACTTTAGGAATCCTTGTCGACCCACCAACAAGAACAACCTCATCAACCTGACTCTTATCAATCTTGGAGTCTCGGAGGCATTTTTCAACAGGCTCCATGCACTTCCTAAATAAATCCATGTTCAACTCCTCAAACCTTGCTCTCGTAATAGTAGAATAGAAATCAATACCTTCATAGAGTGAGTCAATCTCAATGGTAGTTTGAGTGGTGGAAGAAAGAGTTCTTTTCGCCCTCTCACAAGCTGTCCTCAGCCTCCTTAAAGCCCTTGCATTGCTACTAATATCCTTCTTATGCTTCCTCTTAAATTCCTGAACAAAATGATTGACCAACCTGTTGTCAAAGTCCTCGCCTCCGAGATGAGTATCTCCAGCAGTAGCCTTAACCTCAAAAATCCCTTCCTCGATCGTCAGCAATGACACATCAAAAGTACCTCCTCCGAGATCAAAAATCAAAACGTTTTTCTCGCCGGACCTCGATCCCTTCTTGTCCAAACCATAAGCAATTGCTGCAGCCGTTGGCTCATTGATGATCCTCATAACATTAAGCCCTGAAATGGCTCCAGCGTCCTTTGTAGCCTGCCTTTGTGAGTCATTGAAATAAGCAGGCACGGTGATAACCGCATCTTTCACAGTTTGGCCCAAATAAGCCTCGGCAACCTCCTTCATCTTGATCAATACCATAGAAGAAATTTCTTCTGCCGCGAACTGTTTTTGTTCACCCTTGTATGTAACCACAATCATTGGCTTATCACCAGGGCCAGCAACGACCTTGAAAGGCCAGTGCTTCATGTCGCTTTGCACTGAAGGGTCAGAGAAACGACGACCAATGAGACGTTTGGCATCGAAAACAGTGTTTTGAGGGTTCATGGCCACTTGGTTTTTAGCTGCATCGCCAATGAGCCTCTCTGTGTCAGTGAAAGCTACGTAAGAAGGCGTGGTTCTGTTGCCTTGGTCATTGGCTATAATCTCGACGCGGTCGTTTTGCCACACCCCAACGCAGCTGTATGTCGTCCCGAGATCAATCCCAATTGCCTTGCCTTGAGCTTTGGCAGCCATTTGTTGAAGAAAAATAGGGAACCGTGCAGGAAACCTGAGAGTTTATAAAACAGTATTTGAGTGTTTATAAGATGGCTTTGATGAATTTGTTCTGGTTGGAAATTGGATGGGGGAACAGAGTAATATATATTTATAGAAGGGGATGGGAATTATGCAGAAATTTCGAGAGGAAAGTAGAAAGACGGTGAAAAGCAGAAAAGGAAAGAGGGGGAACCTGGAGAATTCTGGAGAAGAGGATGAGGTGGTTAAATTGGTTTGGTTGTCTAGACTCTAGTATGATGTGTGGGTCGGCCGCAATTCAGCAGCCAATGGAAAGATTTGGAAGGAAACATCAGCGCTCAATTGGGCCAGGCCGGCCAATGAAATGAACACTTGCTTAGTCGGCCGACAAAAAAAAAAATTATTGCAGTTGGGCTTAGATTTCTGAAAGATAACACATAAAATCTTGCCATCTTGTGCCACCGTTTGATCTCACGGGGCCAGGGATGGCATCGGGTCGGGTTCGGGGCGGGTTTTGCTCGCCCCGAACCCGACCCGATTTTATGCTTTATTAAGTCCGAATCCGATTTGATCCGAATTTTTTAATACTCAAACTCGACCCGATCCGACACTATTTAAATTGTATCCGATCCGATCTGATCCGAAATTAATGAAAATATTATTTTTTAAATATAAATATTATTTTTTAAATATAAATATTTAAAAATATCATTATATAAATATATTTAATTAATTAATTAATTAATTAAAAAATAATTTTTTAATAATGTCGGGTCAGGTAGGGTCAGGTTTTAGGCATACCCGAACCCAATCCGACCCCGATTGTTACCTAATTTTATCCGACCCCGATTCGAAACCCGAAATTAAAAAAAAAAACCTAACCCTATAGGGTCGGGTCGGACCGAAACCCGTCGAAGACGGGCTTGATTGCCGTCTCTACACGGGGCACAAAACCCATATTATTTTTGAAATAGTATAGCCCGTAGAGTTTTAAAAAGGGTTGATAGTTAGAGAATAATAAAATTCATCATCAAGTGCTGGAATTTTGTACTTTCATAATATAGTCACCTCATGTTCCTAAACTCCATTCATCAAGGAAGCTGAAATGCCTAAACAGCTAATGGAGAAGTGCTGTGTTATAATGCCACATTGTCACAAATCCAAAAATTATCCTCAACGAAGGAGATTTGGGTTCGAGTCTTGCTAGTGGGTCACTTGTTAAGGTCATTTTAAATGGCACAAACCTGTAGGCCACCTGTTTTAGGACTGTCAGGATACCGTACATCTTATCCTGACCTAAAGATTAAACAACCTATTTACCTTGAATTTTTTCTTACAAAAAAAAATCATGTCTTTTTTTTATTTTTACTAGAATGGTGTTTTCACTTTTACTTTGGATCTTTTTTTAATTCATTAAGAAATAATTTTAAATATAAATAATATTAATAATAAATATAAAGTAATTATTGTAAATAATAGATTTTAAAAAATAATAATGAAAACATTATATTAATTAAGAAAAGAACAATTAATTCAAATAATTTTATTTCAATCAACTACAATTTGCAATAAATTCTATTTTTTAATGAAAAATTGAGAAGAAATTTTATATTGATTATTATATTAAAAAATACAAAATTGTATTTTTGAATACATAAAATACATTCTTAATAATGTTTGCATTCATTTTTTTTCGTTATTTAACATAATTATAAAAATAAAATGTAAAAATTTAATTATTGGAATTAAACCAAATTTGAGGCAATTTTGTGATAATAGAACCAATTATTTTAAATTGTTTGTTAAAATTAAAATGTAAATAACTTTTTTGGGACCAAACCAATTTTGAGTTGGCTTTGTAATAATGTAAACAATTATTTTTAGATTGATTGATAAAAAAATCATAGTTGATAATTTTCGTATAAAAAGTATATGATTTAGCTATAAATGAAAGCGATCATTAGCATATTATATGATTTATATTAGGCTGTATTTATCATATGAAATTACTAAAAAAAATTTTTAATTGTTTATATTAGATTGTATTTATCATATGAAACAGTTGCAAATAAATTTTAAAATTATTTATAATTTTATATACTTAATATTAGTTATATATTAATCAAATTGAATATTCATATCTAAAGTGAGATAGGGATTAAGAAAATTTGAGTTTAAAGTTTTTTAATATTAATACTTCACTTTTTTACAATATTGATAAACTATAAATTTAAATACTAAAAAGTAAAAAACAATATGAAAGTTTTAAAAATTAACAATTGTAAGTGTTAAGGGAATTGAAAAAATTTTTGAAACAATTCAAAAAAAATGTGGAGATTTAATTTGAGAAAAAAAAGGGATTGTGTTTTTTAATTTGTTTTTAGTATGTTGATCAATATGTTTTTAACTATTAATTTATTTAGAAAGTTAGGTAACTATTATTAATCAACTATCAATTATATCATTTTATTTTTTTTCTTTATTACTTCTAGACATTCAAATTTTTTTTACCCAACTTATCAATGTTTTTTTTTTTTTTCATTCTTAATAGTATTTTCCCTTTATTTTTAATAATTATTATTTAATTATGTTAGAATTATTTTTGTTGATAATAGAACATATTATTCGAAAAATATCAAAAATTGTAAAATTAATGAAAAATATTTTTTAAAAAATAATAAAAAAGCATAAATAAATTAATTTAAATAAAAAAAGTTACCACTAAAGAAGAGAAGGAAAAGGCAACAAATATTTTTTCATGTAAACTAATTAAGTCTCACAAAACCCAACAAGTAGCATAACATTAAGTCTTAAGTTGGTCAAGACAAACTCAATTAAAATACAAATAGCACAACGTTAAGTTGTAAGTTGGCTAAATTCCTGCATTAAAATTAAAGGGGGACAACTTTAATATTACTAGAACTAGACTTTGTAAAAAATTTTATTGTTTTGAATATATTTATAGTTATTTTTAATATGAAAATAATAACAAATAAAATAAAAAATAATATAAAATATTAAAATTGAAATATATATATAGTATTTTATATATTACGATTATTTTTTGTTAATTTTTCATACTATATTATAAGGTTTGTATTTTTTACTAATTATTTGTTTAAATGTATGATTTTTCAAGTTGTTATAAATTATAAAAATTTTTGTAAATATTTTTTTTAAAAGAAAGACAAAAAAAAAAAGTAACATAATTTTGCAATTTTTTGTTTTTATATCTTTTATATTTATATTTATCATTATTATTTTTTTATTATGCATGATAAATTATAATAACTCAAAACCAATAAAAACATATCAAATTACAAAACTCATATAAAAAAAAATCCACATTCATTTTTTGAAAATCCAAATAAAATCCAATTCGTCATGTCCCATTCCAATTTAAGTCCAACACATCATTTTATATCAAACCCAATAATTTAGTTTACTTTTTTTTATCAACCAATAATTATTTGATAAATGAAAAATAATTGGAAAACTCAATTGTGAACTTCCTTCAATCGAGAGTTGTTTCATTTGGGGATAATAACACACTATCAGTGTAAATGTTTAACTCTATAGTGGTATTAAGAAACACATGTTTCATTTTTATTTTTAATTAATTTTTAGTTTTTTTAAATATACTTTAAGAGATGTGTCACACTCTTAATCATGTTTGTGGAATCTAAAAACCCCATGTTAGAGTATTTGATCATTTCTTTTTTTTATTACATATATTAATGATTAATATATTTGTGCATAAGGTATTAGTAAACTCACAATATCTATCCAAAGATAGTATCAATTAATTTTATATTATTCTAAAATGACCTTGGCTAAATGATTTTTTACTATTAATTAAATTTTATTATTTAAAATATTGAAAAGTTTTAAAGTTTTCTTTAATATTTTGACAAAATTTCTAAAAAATTCTCTTACCTTAATAATATTTAAGAAATTCATTCATTCCATTGAAGAGCTTATGTTGGCTTAATTTAATATTTTTATGGAAAAATAGTTTTTTGTTTTTCATTCTACTAACCTTTTATTTTTCCCTAAATATTTTACTAAAAACAAGTAAAAAAATTTATAATATTTCCAAAAATTCTCCAACACTTTTAATAAGATTTTAAGAAAATTCCTCACTTAAGAATTTTAATAAAGTCACAACTTATAATTTTCTTTTAATTTCATCATTAAAAGAATTTTCATTTATTTTCAAAATTTTATAAAATTTACATGATACAAATAAATATATAATTTTAAAAATTACATATTTAACCCATATCTTTTGTTTTTTATGTTGTCAAATTATTAAAACTTATTTCTAATCTAAAATTTTAAATTTATATGTAAAGAAAAAAATTAAATAAGCAAACTAATAAATTACAAACTAAAAATAAAAAAAAAAACTACAAAATACTAAAAAACAAAAAAAGATTGTTCCCTGGCTATCAATGAGCAACTGATTTGATGAGTTACTCTTAAAAAGAGTGTTTTCCCCCGTCAAATACTTTAATTGTATAGATAAAAAATTAAAAATTAAAAAAAAAAAAAAACCTGCACTTCGCAATGTAAAATCCTAGGAAGCTTCCCAAGAATAGTAGTTCGTGGCGTAGCAACTTGTAAGAGGATTTTAGCAAAGGATATTGAGACCTCCCATGGAATTCAGTGACAAAAGAACTAAGTAAAACATATAATAGAGTGTAATTCATCTTCAAGAATTTTAGGTAGTGGACATCTAAGTTCTTATAGCAATTTTTAGGAGGCCTATCTCAATTAATGAAAAGACTACTCTAAGAAAGGCTCCGAAGCATGCAAAAAAATCCAATTTGTCAATCTTCCATATCAAAATTGCTGCCTTAACATCGAAGAAACCAATCACAGTAGATATAATGATGGCAGCAAGAACAGCATTTAGGGCGTACTTGAAAACAAGTGTTAAGAATTCTAAGGTTAGAAATACAACACAGGACATAACAATATTAGAGATAGCAATTTCACAGCCAGTCAAAAAATTTACTGTTGATCGAGAAAACGAACCTGCGGGTAATGAAGGAAAGACATCATCAGTTATATAAAAATAGAATTACGTGACTGTGTATGTGCATGACTATATTTTCAATATATCTTATTCATATTGACAAATAATCAAAAGATTTAATAAGATGCAAGTGAAAAATGTTTGAGAGTTTTTATATTTTCCATGCATGATTTAACATGTAGTGTAAGGGAAACAGATTTGCTAATTTTTTATACAGTACATATGATTTTTTTTTCTTTTAAGTTTCAATAGTATGAACTTTGATTGCAAAAATAAGTAGGTTGTCGTAAATAAAACATTTTCTCACTGCTTACCTGTGGCCACATAGCAAGAAGTCATTGAACCAACAACATTCATTACTCCTAGGGTCACCATTTCTTTGTTTCCATTTATTTGATGGTCTTTCATCGTAGTAAAAGTTCTTCCAATGGCTACAACTGTTAAATTAACCCACCAAAGAAGAAAAAATGGAAACATAAAAGGTCTATTTATGTGCAATATCGTAATTAATTTCCTTCGTTAGTGAAGATGGATATAAAAAAAAAAAGAAGGCTTACCATCAATGTTATCATACCAGCCGCGACACCAATCTTCAAACCTTTAAGAAGATATTCACCACTGAAATAATTTGATTCATAGATGAGGGATTGATTCTTTTCTCAATGTTCTTCACCTGCGCAGATGAAAGAAAAGTGGTGCTGCTTTCATTACTCATTACCAAAACTACTACAATTTCTGAACTATTAAATTGCAATATTACACTAAAAAATTATTAGAGGTTAAAGAAAAGATGCTTAAAATCTAAACTCCTTTTTTTCTGCATGTGTTATATAAAAAAAAAAGTGGAGAGAACAACTGATATTAATGGAGCTATTGCAGGCACCCAGAAAATTTTTCTGTTCGTTTTTCCCTATTTCTCAAAGCATGCAAATGTTATAGTTTGTAAACAAAAATAAGACAATAGAGGTTGTTGCAATGTACTTCGCAAACAGAAGGAAGGACAAAAAGATAACTCTAATGAGTATAGTCTGCTAGTTCCATTGCAAAGTAGTATTATATAAATTTAGTAACTGCAATGTTGTGAGTGATAACATTGATATAGGTTGGGAATTCTTCAGATTGTAGGTTATGACTCATAAAGAAGAGAATCGAAATGTAATTTTTTTTTGAAAAGGAGAAAGATAAAGGACTGCTTACTCTACGATGAACGTTGCCCCATATAGAGTGCATTACAGAAACAATATAGGTTTCTTTGTAAATTTTTTTATAACGGGAAGACCCTTAAGTTGTTGGAAGGCAATCATAATAGCAGCTCCACCCATAAAACCGACGATAGCAACAAGAGACAGGAAGTCAATCAAGAAGCCCAACCTAATTATTTGTTTTCAAAAACTAGTTTAGTGAATGATGGAAGCAGTCAAGGATCCACAAAAATATGAGTAGCACAAAGTTAATAGAAAAAAAATATTATGGGCAGCTATTATCAGACTTCCAAAAGTATAATACACAATTACCTGAGAATACCAAGGATTGCTTGAGTGATCCTAGCAAAAAAGGTAGCCGTAAATGCAATTTGCTGATAATCAGCTGCATTTTTTGAAGGCTAAATCTCACTTGAAAGCATAGTCCCTAGTAAAAGAGATACCACAACAGCTGGTCCAATGACAATATCTTGAATAAAGCTAGAGTCTATAATGGTTAAAAAAATAATACTCATAAAAACCTTAAGACAAATCCAACAAAAAGACTTCTTTAACAATGTAAGGTGATGATAAATAACATGGAAACTTACAAAGTCCATACCGTGGATCCAAGTTTGCTAGTTTTGCATAACCAATGTCCTTTTTCATGGTAATTAAACTGAATAATTAAATCTGACCGTATGTGAAAATCATTTGAGGTTCACAAGCCTCTCTATGTATATTTTTTTTAAGTATAACAATTGGCGACTTTACCTAAGGATTGCAGAGACTCGCTAAAGTCAGTCCAACAATGATATCGCCTTTAAATTTTCTCCAGCTATAACTCCTTCCCCACTAAAGAATGGGGAAAATGGCCTGGGCGCCTAGGATAAGCTTTTGAGATGGTGGTTGATCCTTAAAGGGACGTAGAGGATCATCAGCAAAGAATGTTTCTTTCACAGTGGCTACGAATTCCTTGAAGAGGTTTTTGTGAAGATATTGTGTGTTGTGCACATGGTGACAAGAGAATGGCAGGCTAATGACTGTTAAATTTATAGCATTTTATAATTCCATTTTAGCTTAAAATTTGAAAAATTTTTGTGAAATTGGTACTTTTAATGTATGAAATCTTGATTTTAGGGTTTGGTACATGAGGACGTGTAAGTCATGCAATCTATGCAAGATGGTGCAACATTCGGCCAAAAGCAAAACCAAGTAATATTTGTCTGTGCATGGGAGAGTTATGGCTAAATCCAACTAGCTAAAGGATTTCCTACATACATGCGGCTATTGAAGAAGTTAGAGTAGCGTAAGGACCCTTTGATAAATTTAAAAGAGTTGAACTCCAAGATAGACACTTTAAAAGAGATAAAAGCTGGAGTTCTAATTAAAGGATGATTCATTGATTTCTATCCAAAAGAGCTTGAACTCAAGTCAACCAAATTAAGAAGATGAGTCTTGGATTTCAATCTTAGCTGAAACTCTCATTCAAGTTACAAGATGATGATGGCATGGCAAGACAAGTGTGCATTGAAAACCAATCCAAGAAGACCATTTGGCCAACACATGTGTCATTAAAGATCCCATATTCAGTCAAACATTTCCAAGACCAAGATAACTTGTAATCTTTTAGGAATTCAAATTAGAATAGGACTTTATAATCCTATCCCCTCTTGGCCAAACCTATGCCTGTAAGTAGGTGAGCCATCCTCACATGTGAAACACTAAATTCTCTCATCTTTTTTCTTTTCTTTAAGTTTTCTTTGTAATTTTCTTAGTTTGGCTAAGGTGATAGACTAACCTAAATCCTTTGTAATTCTTTTTACTTTTCGCTAAGGTGATAGATTAGCCATAATTTTGTTTTCTCAAGCAGTATTTCAATACAAGTTCTTTTATGCTTTTATTAAAGATCTCTCTTTCTCTATTTACATGCACAACATTTAATTTTTTACAAGCTTTCAGTTTTCTATTGTTTCTTGTATAATTGGCCTACCTTTATAAACTACCAAGTGACAATTGGTTAGTTGGTTTTTGGCCTATACAATTTTGGTTTACACTTTCATTTGTTTTCTTTATTTGCTTTTCAATGCAATTAACCATTCTTTTCAATTTGTTTAAATTTAAGGCTAGTAAAACATCACCTTTGCTACTTGGTTTCACACCCTAACATAATCCTCGTGGGAGCGATACTCTACTTACTCACTTTATTACTTAATGCAATTTGTGCACTTGTAAGTTATATGAAAAGCAGCAATCATAGGCTTCTAATGTCCATCTTTTTGTTTTCAACCTCCTCATCATTTGAATGAGACTTTAAAGCAATGTCACTTATTTGTAGCATAGGAAAAGTAAGCCTGATAAAAAATAAGGCATTTCTGATTTTTGTTGAACATTAAAGTTCATCGTCAATTCTTAGATTCTCCACAGAGTATACTTATTAATTAAAACCATAATGAATAAAAACTGAGAGGCAAGCAAACTGATGATGAACTAAGTATAGCAATGAAAGAGTTTTAAAACTCAATATATAATAGGGTGATGGAACTTGAATGCATGAATGATTGCAAAATTATTGGCCAATTTCTTTTTTAGTAAGACCATTTAAAAGGGGAAAATTGTGATACGGTGCATTTCTTCCTACAAAAGAATGCCATATATGTATTCATGAATAGAAATCATTAAATAACCTCTTTAGTAAACCAATTCCTTCATTTTCTAGCTCCTCGTGGAGTTGACCCAAGCAGTTTTCACACTCTAGATTTTGGGAAGCTTCATTATTGATTTAGCAATTTACATAGAAATGTTGAACTAGTTAGTAAACATAGCTCATTATTGAAGATGTCCTGAAGTTCCTAATAGAATGAGCAACAGATATATTTGTAAAAGGCAAAACAGATATATTGTTTGTCATTAAACTTCAATAGGCAATCTTGTTTGTCATCAAAGAAAACTGCAAAGCTAAATGAATAAGTTGATGGATGCAGATGCACAAATTCAAGCAAAAAGCACAGTAGATAGAAAGAAAAACATACCGCATAGGACATGCAGAAGCATATCTGTATTATAAGATATAGGAAGCTAATTGATTCGACAATACCTGTACTAGAAAACGAAAAAAAGAAAAAAAAGAAACAACTAAAAATTAAAAAAATAATCAACTAAGTTAGAAACAATTTAAGAACCCAAAATTTGTTGCTGAAATACCTTTGACAATATCGACAATAGAAAGGAAAAAAACAAACTAAAAGCTAAAAATATTCTAAAAATTCCAAATATCAAAAGTTAAAACAATTTTCCAAATATAACAGAATCAAAGCAAAAAATTATTTTTCTTACTTTCTTCATTTCTATGTTCTTTTCTTTCAATTCCCTTTGAACATCAATTGACGATGGGATACTCGACCTCTACAGCCCAGCTCGCCTCCCCTTCCCTACCATCAAAGCACCTCTTTCTCTAACTGCATTGTATGTTGGGGGAATCTTGGGAGGTGCAACTTCAAATAGAATCTCTAAAGCCTCTCGTTCCGCCGATTAACTAATAGGGGGCTCAACTCTACCATCTAAGATCGACTCTGTCGTCTTGCCCTTTCTCTTTTTTTTTTTTTTTCAAGATTGTTTGTTTTGAGAAACTTCTGGGTTTTCAATCTTGCTTCTTTTTTTTTTCAATAATGAAACCTAGAACATCCATAAGCTTCTGGAAGTTGATTTATTTCAAAATTACCTATACAATTGTTTTCAAGACATTGCTTACTTGGTTCTGTTAATGTAAATTGGGGATTGCTTTTATATATTATTATAGATACGTTAGATTATGTCATAAATGTTATAAATATGACAATAACTTTTGAAATGCTTAACTTTTAACTGCTACTTTTAAAAGATGGTTTAAATATAATTAAATAATTTATTTATTTCAAAAGGTGGTTAGTTAATATTTGCAAACCCTATCTCTCAACAATTATGCATTTAATTGAAAAAACAAGTTCATTATACGTATATGTAGAGATTTTATTTTGTCTTAAAATTTTTTCGAGATTAAATGAGCTTTGAATTTTATGTTAGTATTAGATTTAAAAATTGTTTAATTGGGCTTTAATTATAAAGGTAGATTATGAGTTCAAATCAAATCAAATGGTCTAAAAGAGTTATTTACTTATTTATTTATTTTATTTTGCTTTACTTTATTTTATTTTATATTTTTGTTAGTTAAAGAGTCTAAAGTAAAAGAAAAATGATAAATAACTAATATTGAAGTTTGTAGAAGTGAATGTGAGAATAAGGTATCTTGATTTTATTTAGATTTAAAATTTAAAGACTAAATTTATTATAAAATTACTTGAACTTCAATTCACTTAAAAAAGACAAAAGATTTTGAAAGTGTTAAAGATTAAGTCTTAATAGATACAATCAATTAATTGTTTTACAAATTGAAAAAGGATTGAATTCCTATGTAAAGAGAGTATACATAGCAATAATACACAACTATAAGCATTGGCAAGGAAAGAGCAAATTCAAAGCAATATTAGCAAACTTAAAGTAAATAGATATCGCGATTTTGATTATAGGATCAAACTTTGGAATTTTCTAGGTTGTTAGGAAAACCTAAGGATTTAGTTTTTGAATTTTGTTTATAGGATTGTTCTTAGTTTTAAATCTATTTAAAAAAAAAGAAGTTTTTTCAATTTTTTGATGTTTTTGGAGTTTTTTTTTCTTTGGGGTTTTTGCAAATTTATGCAAAATTTTGGGTTTTGGTTGAAATTTTTAATAAAGGCTTGAAATTTTCAGTAAGGTTGACTGTGGTTGATGGTAGAAGGAATCATCAGTTTTTGAGTTTCTAAAAAACTTTTCAATAAAGTTGAATTTTTTTGACAATTGATCAAATTTTTCGATGATGGAATCTAGAAAAGTGGCTAGTTTGAAAGGAGTTATTAAAATTTTCATCGGGTTTTGAAAAGAGAGGTAAGAGATTTTTGGCTAAAGAGAGAAATAAGAAAAGAAAACTAAAGAAAAAAAAATGATTTCGGCTTTAAATAATAGTGATGAAATGACATTGTTTTGCTGATTAGTAGTGGTTAACCCGTAGAGCTCCTCGGATTAAACCACTCCAGATTCTACCTGATCAGAGGTTTCATTTTTCTATTTTTTTGTTATTTTTCCTTTTATTATGATATTATTGTATGATTTTTATATGATGTTATTGCTTGATTTTTTTAATATTTTTCGCATGATGATTCTATGATACTTTTATGATATTCTAACAATTCTTATGATACTTTTATAGTATTTTGTATGAAATTATTTTGCATATAAATAAAAGGGGAATTAATTATTTTTTTATAAGATATTTAATAAATTTGATGATTAAACCTTTTCAAGTGAACAATTAGTTTATCTTAGAATATTCTTATGGTAATGAAAATTTCCTTTTAGTGAAAGACTAAAGATTTTTTTTCAATATTTAAATATTAAAATTAATAAAAATTAGGACTAAAAAACTATTATAATTAAGGCTTAAACAAGACAACATAAGGTTAATTTAGTACCAATTTAGGGGTTCTAGGGATGCTAAAACCTTCTTTACATGTAATTAACTCTTAAATCTAGTTTTGAAGATATAGATCAGAACCTATTCTTTTTAAGAATCTTTAGTTCAAGCTTAGGACAACCTTAGAAAAGATAAGTTCACTTAGATGGCTAATCACACCTAGATTAAAAAAAAAAAGATTGATGGTAACTCCATAATTTTTGTGTTTAATGGTCAGATCTTAGAGTTGAATGTTATGACAATTTGGTGATTCAATTGGGGGCATTCGAGTTATGTGTTATCTTAAGTCTTATTGTGATAGTTTTTATTTTTTATTTAAGAGATTATTTGTGATTTTTTTTTCATATATACTAATCTATTTGTTTGTTTTGTATTTTTGTGTAAATTTGATTTTTCATGTGTACTCATTATTTGTTTGCTTTGTATTTTTGTATAGCACTTGATTTAAGATATTTGATTTATGAATAAAAATGGTTGGTATGTCCCTTCACACGCATTACACATGCACATTCATGCATAAGCTCTAGACTTGAGTTTTATCCTTTCTTAGTTGGAAGTGAGTACTTATACTTTCGTAAAGTGATAACCTCCATGTGAGCTAGTAATAAACTCCCATTCAAATTGAACCTTTTTCATTTGAGCTTTAATGGGTGAAGATTGGGTGATTTACTAGTCTATAATGGAGAATGATGTGAGGAACAATTTGGGAACCTTTATATTGTTAAGGCCTTTAAACCAAGCATGTAAATAGACTCTACGTATTCAAACTTAAATTAGAGTCATACCCTTCCCTTTGTATAAAAAACCTTAAAATAGGACACATGAAGGGGCATCTCTTACCTTTTACTTGTAAAATTGTATTTTTCTTTATTTTTGTATCTATTGTATTTACTAACACATTTGTTTCACTGTATGCTCATGTATTTACATCATGAGATCTACCATAAGGAGTTATTGCTACATAACAATTTTAATAAAAAGAATCTTGCTTACATCCATAAAAAACCTAGCAAAGCTCCCTATTAGCTTGAAGCTAAGATCTAAGGAAGTTTAGCTTAAAGAATGTCAATGCTTGCCAGTCGATTATGTGTCCACTCTCTTGTTTAGGATTTATCTCAATCTCAAAAGGAATGATTTAAATGATTTGGGTAACATTTGGAAAGAGTAGGATGCCACTATTAAAGAAACCTTTCAAAAGAATAATGGTGATTTGGTGTTATTTCTTGTAGTCATTAATGATGATCAGCTTATTAGAGCAATGATACAGTTTTAGGATCCTTGTATCATTGCTTTACGTTTAATAAGGTTGATATGGTGCCAATAATAGAATAATGCTAAACTTTGCTTCACTTGAACCTTCCCAATCCTGATAAAATATGTTGGAAAAAAAATAAAAAGATTGGTTACAAAAGAAGCTTGTTCATTTGATGGCAATAGATGTCCAAATTGTTGATGCTTAGGTGAAAGGAAAAAGTGAAGGTGCTAGCCTTCCTTGGTCTATTTTGTGTAACTTCATATACAAGCATTTGGATGACAAAAATGAAGTGGACTTGATGGCCTTGACTCTTTATGGAATGGCGATCTTTCCAAAGGAAATATGGTACAATGATGTTGCAATTGTTGATTTCTTTGAACAATTTAATTACCAAATCAATTCAGCTCATTCCATATTGGTAGAAACTATTAGATCATTGAACCATTTGTTAACAAAATGAAAAAAGGGCATTTCATCAAATGTGTATAACTGTTGACCATTTTGATGAAAAGTCACTTTGAGTGCAATTAGGGCTAATTCCATAAACCATATCTTGCATCAAGTGCCTTTGTCAAAGAATTTTGTGAGAATGAATGGCTTGAACAAAAATCCAATGAAGCATAGGTCTCATTTTTACACACTCTTAAGAGGCGAAATGAAGAACACATTGGATGTCATACATACCAGTATTATATAGTTGTGAAGATAAGCTTTGGTTCCTATTTTAGGCCTTTTTTGGTGTAATGAGTTACTCACCAACTATGGTGTAAAGACAATTATGGTTCAAAGCAGTTTATCCCAGCTACTTCTAGACTAAGTCAGTTGGAATTCTCATATGCCAAAATTAATGCCTCAAAGAAAATAGCAAAGTTTATGCAAGCATGAAAGCAAACTCAAAGGAAAGGCAAAAAGAGTTGGTCTAATGAGATTACCCATAAATATTTCTTATGGCATATTAGGTGAGGCAAAGACATTTTACTTCCCGAAGAAAGGATCTCACATAACTCAAGCAAAGACATCACCTCTTAATTCATTAGTGGTAGTGGAAATTACTAAATGCAAACTATAAGTTGAGAAAGATGAATTGGAGCTTGAGAATAAAAGGCTTAAAAGAGAATTGAAAGATAGATTGGAGTGACAAGAAAGAAAGATTCAAGAACTTAAATAAAAAAGAGATGAATGAAAGAGTTTATTCACTAAACTCAATATAATTCATTTGTCTACCATTTTTAAGCTGGCAAAACTCTTAAAAGAAAATGGACAACTACAAGGAAAGGTGAAAGAAGGTGAAGAGCCACTATTTAAAGCATAAGAGCACATCTAAATGACGAATGTGACTAGTGTTGAGATTGGAACATAAATAAGGATTTTGAATAAAGAATGTGAGCAAGTAAAAAATGCATATTTGAGAAAATAAGATTAGTTAGAGTGCCTGTTAGACCAAATCATTATGGCTACTTATAAAACTAAATACATGGTAGAAAAGGGTCGAAGAATGAAAAACAAGCATGCCACCAGTTGAAGCACATGGTCAAAGACTATTATATTTTCTTAATGAAATACAAAACCAATATCGACAGATTAATGATTTATTTCCATAATAATTTTGGACTTTTATTAATGTAATTTTGGATTTTGTTAGTTCAAAGACTTGAAATAAACCAAGAGGGGGTGAATTGGTTAATAATAAAATTTTTAAAAATTAATACTTAATATGCACAAATTTTCCAAAACAATTTATCTAAGCAAATGAACATAATAAATAAGAGTAAACTAACAATTTTAAAAATAAGAGGTAGAAATTAAACACCAATATTTATAGAGGTGTGATTCTTTTTTAGGCACCTACATCTTCTTCCTTAGTCGCACTTACCAATGAGTTCAATCCACTATGTGTTGAAAGTTACAACCTAGCTTTTCAAAGCTTTAC